GAAGCCAAAAACGCACTCATGATCGTGCACTTTATTTCATTTCATGTACATGTATTTCCTTATTTTTTCACTGTCAACTTCTTCATTAACTTCGATTGAGGAGCCACGGAAAATGCTTGCGACAGAGTTCCTAGTCAATATTATGATTAACAAATCGACCGTGGTTTGGCGTGCTCTGTACTCTTATGGACAACGATAATGGTCCTCACAGTCGCCAAAATGTTGTGAACTCACAAGACGCAGCCGAGTGAGTCTGTAACAACGTTTGACCACTGTGATAACGAATATCGTTGTCGATAAGTGTACAGACCACCCTAAACCACTGTCGATTTGTTTTTTACCCCAAAATTGACGTCAAACAAATCGATTCTTACAGTGCGTGACACGTTGCGTGACACGTTGCGTGACACGTTGACACGAGCGGCGTTGTCTGTACTCTTATCGACAACAGCAAATCTGACAATCAGATTTAGACCTCACTGCGAATTGTGGTATAATTTCAATTCGTTCCTTTACATTCGCAGCTTAAAAGAAACATTTATTCTAGTCTTACAACGATGTGACATAGAGTAAAATTGTATAAGGGTGCTCCTACCTTTAAAAGCTCTGTAAGCCTGCACAGGGCCATTACACAAGACTTGGTCAGTGGTTTCGATAACACCAGATGCATGTTCATGATAGTTCGCACCAAGTGACTCACAGTGTGTGCTATAAGGACTCCCTGAAAAATGTGAAATAATGAGAAAAAAAATATGGCTTGTTCGAGCTTAAAAAAACTTGAACCAAAAGCGAGTTTCCAACAACGTAAACTTTAACCCTTTGGCCCAAAGGTTGACAAGCACCTGGGTTTAGGGTTAGTCCCACAACTTACATAAAGGTCATGAGAATTTAGGATATGGTCACCAACTAAAAAGGCTCTTGATTGTTTGACAAATCTCCTTGTCAGCACCTCAGGAAATGTATAGAGACCACCATTAGATCACCCACCTCCCCACCTCCCCACCCCCCCCTTGCAGACGATTTTCCTTTGGCGTAAGCTTCTTCACAAGCTACAACGCTACAAATTACCTTAATGAATAGGACACATCGTGTGTTGAGATCGTCAACCAAGGAGCCTCCCTTGTTGAGGCTGGACTCCATGTGAACCATCCAGGAACTGACCTGCATCTGGTACAGCTGTGCATCCCTGACACGACAAACACAACAACATCATGTATTTGAAACAATATTTTGACATCAATCTCCCTGTATATCTAGCTTGACACGCAAAGGTCGTACGGTCAGCAAGTTGAACACTGGATTAAAGAGTCTGAGTTCGAACCCTACCTGATACTGTTATCTCGAGAAATATACTTTACTCTCACAGCAGATAACATGTATATCCTCCCAGGGAAGAAATGGGTAGCAGTAAGCCTTCGGAAACGTGACAAAATCTTGGGTGTTATAATCTTATTCATAAGTAGTAAGATTTCTTTGGTTTTTGTTTTACGACACTCCATTAAACAACGCTCTAATGTAACCGCGAATTCTACCAAAACGTATTTGAAAATGATTCATGAAAAAGCACAGACAAATTCTCTCTCACCTGACCAAGTTTTGATTACAGTTGGTCAAGTACTGTTCCTTAGAGGATTCCACAGCTTGCCTCTGTTTCTTGTCCACAATCTTGTTTAGATGAGGAATTTTTCGAAGAAGAAATTCGTTTGGAAAGAACATAATGTCTCCTGCAAGATGCACAGCTGGGACCTGAAAAAAAAAAAAAGGTTTACAGTCATCCATTTAAATCAACTCTTCAAAACATGAAAAAAAAAAAATTAAGTATACAGACAAAGTAGTATACGAGGGTTCTCTGGGACATAGCCGATCAGATTCCAGGATTTTTACAAAGTGGAACAAATTAACCAATCATGTGGCCGGATCGGCATCCAAGATATGATTGGTTAGTTTGTACCACCTTGCACAAAATCCTGGAAGTCCCGAAGTACTTCCTAATACTACTCGACTAAAAGTGAAAGAATACATTCGTTGATTATAGAACAGAAAAGGTGTCTCGAGTCTACAACATACACAAGGTAACTAAAATTAGATAATTAATCTGTTTATTTGTTGAGAGGTAATCCTGGCAGAAGCTTCTAAGCAGTGATGCAGTACTGAGCAGTATTTTCATGAGGTGATGTTAATTATACTTTCCAAAATGATTGTAACTTAGTAAATGGTTTGAACCTGGGGGTAACATGTGAAAGTGTTGTGCAATTGTCTGGGTGAGTGTAGTCTTGAGAAGGTCATCACCTCCGACAACAGTCCTTCTCAAGATTCTAACTGTAATGTCCGCGGATGAAGCCCTGAAGCCCTGAAGCCCTAAAGCCCTGAAGCCCTAAAGCCCTAAAGCCCTGAAGCCCTAAAGCCCTGAAGCCCTAAAGCCCTGAAGGCTAACAAGCAGAAATTTCAAGGTTATGTTTCTTATGGTATACAAGGTGGTTTTAAATTTTAAGCCTGTGGATGGAACTTAATGTAAGACCATACACCATCACATGCCACTCTCAGTTATGCCGTTACTGTATCATGACATGGATCAAGTCTATATTGATCCACCTTTTTGTGAATGTCCCAAAACTTGCTAAAGAACTTCCTGTCGATGCCCCTGTAGATCTGATGTTGTAAGATGAACAAACCAAGCAGGCCAACAATCTTGTGACGCTGATCAACCTCATGAGGCTCATCTGAAAATCAAAACAATAGAACCGATAAATCAGCATTCCTTTCTACTTACAAAATTTGCAGGCAAAACATTGAAAGGAAAAAAAAAACACCTCTTACAAAAATAATTTCGGGAATTTTTTTTAGTACTTACTCATTCTTGTATCAAGACTTTGAAAGATGACTTTGATATTGTATAAGAATTCCTCGCCAAATTCACCATTTCTTGCCACTCTTATGAACTGACTATCAAATGGCTGGTCAATGCAGTTCTGGAATAAATGTTCATAAATAAAAAAATAAGTGTAAATCAGCTTGTATTCAGAGGATTATACTACTTCTATACAGCTTATCTCATTTCAAATGACTAGGATTAACCCTACTTCCCTGAGATGCTAGTCGACTGCAGGTAAACCCCCCAACCCCACCCCCCAAAGATTCTCCTCAGACTTCCCTGACAGTTCACCGTCACTTACACTGTATTTGTGTACCACGGTGGAGAGAGGCACTGTCAGAGTAAAGTGTCTTGCCCAAATACCTGGTCACTTTGCTGTCATGTCAAGTTGTCAATAACCAACTGACCCACTTTGTGAGTAAACTGGCCACCAGCTGTCTTTGGTCAACTTGCCAAAATAGCAAAGCTGTCAGCAAGTTGATGATGACAAGTCTACCAGCAGTTTAAGAGCAGTTGGCAAGTTGACTAGTGGTGTCAGTAAAGTGGTTGTCAGTGAGTTGAGACGTCAGCACAGTGACCGTTAACTGCGCAAGAAAACAACACAATTACTGAAGTGTGGCAGAACCTGAAGCAAAGAAGCAATGTACCAGTAACCTCTCACAAAATTAACATATGCATTTGGAAGTTCTCAATATTGTTTGTCATCCAATTGAAGGTCAGTGGTTGTACCTGTAATATAACACCATCAAGGAGTTGCCCTTCCAAACTCATGAGGAGTTTTTCAAGCCGACGCAGCTTTGCCTCGTCAATCTCAAACAAAGCAGTATTGTTGTGTACTGATTTTAACATTCTGTAAGTTAAAGAAAAGGATACCTGAATATGAAAACCAGGCATGTATTGCATGCATGTGAAATAGCTTTGCAGAGAAGCTCATTTACAATGTATTTATCACTGCAACACCAGTAAATCTACTGACAAACATGATTGACCAATGGACTAACAGACACACTTCCTCACTCGCTCGCTCACTAGCTAACCAACCAACTGTATGATATGCCTCACAAGGGCAGGTACCTTCTGTATTGCTTCCAGTGTTCTTTTAGAGTGTGACTGGCATCCATAATCTCATCCAAAGTGATTAGCACTCCAAGCAGTCCAGCAAGATGTTCAAAAACAGTCTGTTGGAATAGGAAACATTTTTAAAAAAAATTATGATAATGATTTTTTTGCAGCATGATACAATGAGCAATTATGAAATAACACAAATGAAGTGACAATAGCGATAATCTATTTGTATAGAAATGGCATCACCTATAACAAAATAATAAAAAAAAAAACACAGGGAAAATGGGAATTTTTTAGTCATACTGTACAGTCTGATGGAAGCCTTTTGACCCCCTACGAGTGACTACCATCTAATTTCTCCAAACATTATCACTCCTACACCACAAGCAGCTGACACTGAGATCCGCGACAATCTCAAAACGTACTGAGCACCACGTGACCCTGCAATTGCAAAGGGGTGCTCCCGCAGCACAACCCCCGCTGACCAGCATGCCTCGATTTTAGCCTTGCCTAAATTTCACTCAGCCTCATCAAACATTAAGGTTAGGAGAAAAAAAGAAATGATCACTAACTAACTAAGCTCTTGACTGTTAAACTCAAGAAATGTATAGAGAAAAGTATGGAGAAAATGCACACTGATGTTAGGATATAAATAGATAGATAGATTGGTTTATTAAAATCACATCACAGTAAAATACAGGTTACATTAATTAAGAGGAAAACTCCTTACTGTGAAATGAACTCCAGTCACATCCATCACTTTAGGACCCTCTCTAGAATGAAAAAAAAATGTTTGTTACTTCCTAACACCTTTTGCACGACAGCATAAGCAACATTGAGGAAAGGTGCTCAGCAAATTGTCAATCAATAAATCTTACTTTGAATGTAATGAAGCTAACTGCTGGATCACGTTCTTGACAACTTCATAGGCACGTATCACAAAACTAGAGATATCTTGTAGCAGAGGTAACATTCGTCCGAGACGAACTTGATTGTCTCCTTCTTGGACCTGCTCTTTATCTGCTCCTGAAAGAAAAAAAATATAGTAAGTAGTACGAGGAGCACTATGGGAAATAGCCAATCAGACTCCAGGATTTTGTACCTCATGGTACTCACTACCCAATCATATCTGGGATAGTAGTCTGGCCATATGATTGGTTAATGAGTGTCACATGGCACAAAATCCCAAAACAAGACAATGTAGACGATCTTCGTCAAATCATGTTAAGGTCATCACCTTTGAACATGTTGTGCACCCACAAGAGACCAATCTGGTCTGTTGGCTCCCTAATTTACCCACACAATTTCACAGGAAAACATGAGAAACGATTGCTATCACCAAAAAATATGCAAAAGAATTAAGAGTTTTATGAAATCTATCTACTTAGACTTCATTTTGTACATATGGTATAATCAAGATCTTTAATCTTAATCTAGTGTGCAATCTGAGATTGCAGCAAAAAATATTCCCCTATATCACGAAATATCTTGTGTATGATATTTAGTTCAGTTTTTTTCTCTCTCATACCTGCTTCTTCGTAAAGCAACAGAGGTGTGTAGAACTTTGTTGTGGCCTGAAAAGTTCAAGAGTTTTTTTAAAAAAAGTCATTTCAGAGAATTATCCCCTACTTGAATTTTTTTTTAATCTCATCACTGTTCTGCTTGATGTTGCATTGATATTGTAAGCTAGGAGAAATTCTGTCTTGGTCACTTATGGAAATTAAAGGGTTTTAGCAACTGGGGGTGTCGCTTCAGCCCCCAGAATGGAATGCAAGTCCATAACAGGTACCCCCCTAGATTCTGTAACATTTCCTGACAGTTCACTGAAACCCATTTAAGAATAAAGAGCAAAAGTGTCTTGCCCAAGAACACAACTAAATGACTAAGTCAGGGCTCACGTGCTGACCCTCTCCCCCCCCCTCCCCCGTTAAGTCCACATACCATATTAGCCCACCCCATCTCTACAAAAAGCAATGCTTTAGCAGCTTTTTCTGCTTCAGTCAAAAATTGTTTGAGAAGTTTGCCATGGTTATAAGACGTTCTCACCTCATGCTTCAGCAGATCCATTTCCCGACACAAGGAAGCAAACACCATGATCACTTTGTTGAAGACCTATACAAGATGAATAAAATTACTTTATGGATTACTAAACTTTGTCATTGGAATCAAAAAGTAGAAATTAATATCAAATAATCCGTGGCTGAAATTCTGAACTGGGACCTTAGATTTTTTTTTTTTCGTTATCAACATTTTTTTACAATCAAAATGATTATCATCATCATCATTATGATATTCATGACAGTAACTGTAATCAATTAGTTTTTTTTGCTTGCACTTGATTGGTGTAAATAGATACAGATAAACAGATGACATTGACAAACAAATATCTGCACATACTTTTGTGTCAAATGAAGGATATCATTTCCTTTACAATACACACTGTATTATGAACATTTATTTCATTAAAATGTTCAAATGCACATAAAACTTATCAGGTATCATGAACAAGTTAAGAGTCCTCATAAAACTCTGCGTGTTTCAATCTCTATTACAAACAAAACAAAATGCAATACAAAGCAATACAAGCCTTGTTTTCTGTCTTGATAAGCTCCAACATCCTTGACTGCTCATACGGCAGTGTCTAATTCAAAAATAAAGCATTGTTATTATTAAAATAGTTCCCCCTTTACCATGGTATCCTCCCACGAAGATGTTCGGATTATTGAAACAAAATTGAAATAATTATAGCCCTTTAAGATGCAATGAATTACTACAGAAAAAATATATGAATTATGGTAGAGAAACACAGCACTTCAAACCCTCTCCCCCTATTGTGTGGTTCCACAAAATATCCCTACCCACCACAGAAGACTTTTTGATTTGCACCCCCCACCCCCCAGGATTTTCCATTCCAGGCAGTCCTTGATGATCCACCTCCCCCAAGGAATTTCCAGAATTTTAATCAGGGACTCTTGAAGTGGTATGAAGTGGCAAGGCTCTTTGAAATCACACTTTGGAATGTCAGATCTCTAAGTTCAAATCCAGGTTAGAAAATAATTTTTCGTGTTTTTAGAGAAAATGAGGGGAAATTATTTGGGAGGGGGACTGATTCATATAAGCCTTCTCCCTTTAGTAGCCAGTAAGAATTGCAACTTTAGCTGAGAGAAACGGTAGGCCATGAAGGTAGCAACCTATGACTGACAGGCATGTATATTCTATTAACTGTTTGCTGGAAAATATATTAGAATTGTCAAGAGAAGTTACAGATTCATCGCCTATGGGACTCGAGGGGATAAAAACCCTCTTACTAAAATAGAAGTTAGCTGGAGAGGTGGAGTCGGGGGGGTTAGGGGCTGAGATGAAAGTGATAGGGGGGTGGTATGGCATATCAACATGACACATGCAGAGTAAATAAGATTTCGATAACTCAAGGATGATAACAACGTGTATCTTAATAAATCAACAATTAACTTTCATTGTAATTTTTTACTCACTTGCAACGCGATGGGATCAAGACTGAAATCCCACGAATCTCCAACAGAGTCGTCCAAGGCATCCTCGATCGCTTTAAGCTGTGAAGCGTATTCCTCCAAAAATTGACCATATTTTTTCAACTGTGCTTCGCCGACGAGTTCTGCGGGTAATAAAGCCTCGTCAACAATTTTGAAGCTCATGCCGGTGTCAATTTAAGGTGTTTAAACTTACTTAGTGAACCGTCGTCAAAAGCATCAAGGTGCCATCCTTCCTCCATCTTGGAAGTGTCACGTGAAGAGATATAAGTCGAAAATGTTGTTCATGTGTTTTTTTTTTAGTTTTATCACCGGGGGAGGCTCATACGCAATTCTTGTCACAGCCCTTTTTTCGAAAGCAGAAAAAAATAGATTGCACTTAAAAATATCTTATGTCTATTTTTATATTATTATTTGTTAAAAGGTCTCTAAAATAAGAATGAAGGGATACCTAAGAATCATTTTTTACGCATAGTATTTACAGAATTTAACCTGTCCCCCGAAAGACCTTAAATGACGTTTCAAAATTCAAAGTTTGGCCTGGTTACCTGAGATGTCAACATGTCAGCCGCGCGAAGAACAAGGAAAAGAAAGCACTCTGAATCTGAAGTCCCATTCGCCGCTGGATTTCGTCTCCCAACATTAAAACAAAGCAGAGATGCCATAGGATTATCTAAGATTCCAAAGATGTACGATCCAGGAACGGAAAGTGCTCATTTTAAACGTATTCCCCAGCCAATCTCGGAAGACGATTGGTTAGCGCAATATAATGAGAAAGGACAGTCATTTAAAAACTTTACGAGGACTTGTCGTTGGATCTCTTGTCGCAAAGTGAAATACACGAGACAAAAATTCGTTTCCGATGGAAAAAATCTCAAGCAGAGATACCCAGATGGAAAAATTTACCTACAACCTCTGGGCGATTTTGATCAACTTTGTTGGGATAGTAGTTATCCTAGCATTGATGACTTGGCTGATTACACAGAGCGTTTTTATTCCTTGCCTGTTGTTGTTTTACCTGCGGTGAAGCTTAAGCTTCCCACAAAGAAAGGTAATGGCGGAAAACTGCAGTAAGAGTCTGGATTACTGAATGTTGCCTGCCATAAACTTGTGAAAGTCCTCTTTGCCAGCAATGTAACAAAGCGTTGCAAGCAGAGAGGACGAGACGAAACACGCGTCCTGCAAGGAACGAGACGAGACTATTGCTAAGTTTTAAGTTGGTGTAATACCTGACCTTATAGGGGGCCTTTACCTTGCAGGTGATCTGGCATACTGGAATTATGGATTGAATGAAACAATAACCTCATCAAATGCAATACGGACAAGCTCAAGAGTACAGTCAAAACAGTGTGAACTCAATCATCGTTGGTCTCGCGGTGTGTCACAATTCTTTTCTTTCCTTTGACCAGACTGGCCAACAGAGCAGTGGCATGTCTTCTAAGGGCATGCATCGTATTTGAGGGTGGCATATGATTATTCTTTCAGTCAACTTGCGAGATCAATGAAAGATTGGTGGCCTGGGTATATGGAGCTTCTTCTTCCAAACCCACACTCTTTCCTCTGTCCAATGAGAATTTGTTGGTTCAAATTTCTCACCCTGCATATTGTAAAAATCCAGCGTAGTATATGACTGAGGCGCATTCCACAGAGAAATAATGAGCATTATTTGTCCACCAAAAATCTGTTACCACTGTATGATGAGGCATGTTGAGTGATCTGGTTTAACCCTATACACCCAACATCAGTATGTATATTCTCCATACTGTTCTCTATACTTTCCCTTAAGTGCTGACAAAGAGAATTTGTTCAACAATCAAGAGCTTGTTTACTTGATGCTCAATTCCCTTTTTTTTTTTCCTTGTGAACTTAGTATGTGAATCCAGGGTAATACTGTAAAGGAAAATTTGAGGCAAGTCACTCTTAGTACTCATACAGTTAACAATTAGCATTGGCTTCATATTAGGGCATGTACAACTAAGGGTGGACAGTATCCATGGACTTCTGCGGCAACAGATTGCTGATGATGCTCTCTGTCTAATTGGCCTGACCATGGTAGACCTGTTTGAGGATGAAACTGACCTGTTTGTTGCAGGGCTAGCAGCGGGAAACCAAAGAGTTGCGGTTAAGTATTATACCATAACTGTAAATAAGATTTGTTATGGAGCTCTATATGACCTTAGGACACCTAGAGGAGATTAAGAGTCATCTTCTTCTCACAATCTCAGTTAACAAAGGAAAAAGGTACTGATAATTGGCAAATATATCTGCAAGAAGGTGTTCTATATTCTTGTATCTTGGTTAATAACATCAAATTTCCTAAGGGACATTCAGAATGGGATCCAGGAATTTTAAACAGCGAGGTATCCAAACTTTGTTTAGAAAACACAGGGTTCAGTTTTGAGCTATAACCAAATTAAGCCAGGAAATAATTATTTCAAGACATGTAGATTTCAAATTCTTGATATTGACTAGTAATTTGCAAGCCTCTTTTGTTGCAAGAAAAAAAAAAAAGAGAGGGAGTCCTGGAACCCCTTGGATCCATTCTCATATCAGCTAAAACTTTGGGATTTTGGCTAAATAACATGGCTAGGTTTGTAACTTTTAGAATGTACCTCCTTACATCAGCTTTATTATTTTCAGGTTTTTAGTTTTGCACGGTACGATCCTTCTTTGTCATTCTCCACTGAGCACTGGTATGACATCTGGCCATCCAAACAACTTGATCCACTCAAGAAGAAGGAGCTAGTTCTGCAGGTACTGATTGCCAGGAAAGTTCTGTAAGGCTTACCCCTTAAAAGCAAATTACACCTTAACACCAGTGTTCCTCTTCTCCATATTCTTCTCCGTATGTTTCCTTTGGTACTAATGAGGAGACTTCATGGAACAATCAAAGCTTCTTACATTGGTCATCATTTCCTTTATTCTCATGATTTTAATAAATGATTCAGAAGTGTTGTTGTAAGGAAAAGTTTGATACTGTTCATGCATAGGGCTCAAAGGATTAATCTCTCTAAGATCAGAGCGACCAGCATCAAATTTTTCTACACAATATCACCATGGAACCAAACATTAAGGTCAAGCGAAGAGGTAAATGATGTCCAGCCAAAGAAACTCCTGATTGATAAACAAATTCTCCTCTCAGTACCTTAGGAAATTTATAAAGAATGGTATGGAGAATATTCATACTGATATCAGGGTGTAAAGGCATAGGCGATGATTTTTCACACTCTGGTTTCAGATCCTAGATTTTGCGCAACGAATCTGACTTGCGCGAGGCTTCGCGTTTTGGATGATGTAGTGGTCAGACTTGTTACCTCAGCTTTTACGTAATACTTAGACAACAGTGCAATTGTGCCGAAGTTTATAGTTGAACCACAGTGGTTACTTTTCACAGAGAAGGTGTAAACTATTGGTGCATGAGATAGCGCACCTTTTCGGAGTAGATCAGTGCATCTGGTATGCCTGCTGTATGAATGGTTCGGGTCACCTTGCTGAGGATTTTGGTGAGTTTTTTACCAAATGATTTGACTTAACAGTCAACATTTTCCTTTTTCAACAGTAGTTTTCTCAAAGTGTCTGTAACTTGGTTTTCAAGGATCGCTTTCATACACTTTATGAAACCGCTGAACACAAACATGATTTTCATATATTCAAATTCTGACTAGTTTTCGTTTTGAGTTTTATCGGTCGAGAGGTGGTATTTCTAATGTTAATCGCTGAGTTTAAAGTAACGAATTCAGGAATAACTTTTCCCCTAATTGTAATTTTTCAAAGATAGCTATCTGACGACACAACTGGATATTAGGCTATCAGGTACAGAGCATTGATGTGCCAGGCTTCCAGTTGGTAAACGAGCGAAATGAAACGAGGCGCGATTTTAACGCGTGAGAGACGCGTTCTTGACGCGACCCGACTTGAACTTCGTCTGTTTAACGAGTTGCGCTATAATCGCGCCCATTAACTATGTAAACGTCGGGAAAGGTAACTTTGAATTTGGTAGAGACGATGAAATTCTAGTTCTGTTTTTCTTTTCAGCTCAACCAATTTACCTTTGTCCTGTTGATCTTCACAAACTACAGCAGCTGTGCGGTTTTGACGCTGTTGATAGATATCAAAAGGTAGGAAGGAAGATACGAGCAGTTAAACTACGTGCAGACATGGTTTGCAGTTGCACATTGACCGCGTTTTTTTTTTTAACCACAACACGTTCTGCTCACGTGACGAGCTTTGCGGTAATCGTACTGTTTTTTTTATTGGCTTTTAAGAGTGGAAAACCGTTCGTTTGTTTCAACGAGAATTTTACGAAAACCAACCAACGCTTTCCGACAAAATTCTACTTGAAATCCTCCGTCACGATACTTTAGCGGCCTGCCAAACTATCTTAAGTTTATAGAGTACCACGAAATATTAGTTTGGTAAGATTTGAACGAACGAAACAGGCAAAAATGATACACGAGCGAACGGGAATGACTCAAGATGGGGGAGATTCAAACAGATTATTCATGACGAATTTGAAAGGCTCACTCAAGTCAGCTTGAAAACGCGCTGTCAAAGTTGATGTAAAAGAGATCAGACAAGCAAAAGTCAATCTTTTAAAAATTATAAATCTTATTTCTTAGAGTGACTATTTTTTATCGAATGTTTACGAGGGCTGACTTTTTAGTCAAGACTTATGGTCGTTACGTATTTTCTTTTAAAGCTACTTGAGTTTTTCAAGAAGCATGGAATGGAGGAAGAAACACGATGGTTTGAGTCAAGACTGGCGTTTATAACTGAATCGGAAGCTAGATAAACAAGAAAGAAAACCAACCGGACTTCACAAGTGAAGAGAGAACATGCTACAAAGAAAAGATACACACTGATATTTGTTAAAGAAGGATTTGTTCAAACGTCATTCGTTTTCCCGCCCTTTTGTGGTTTTCCCGCTGAAGACCGTAGGCTTCGGTACTCTTTTTGTCCCGTAGCGGCCATCTTGGTTTTGATATGTTTTGAGCTCGAAATAAATAATTTTATTTGACGACTTATTCCTAGTTATTGAATTGTTCTGGTATAGAGAACAGTGTTAACAATGATCTTGTCTGCGTCAGTTGAACGTAAAGTTCCTGTTATTTATTTCAACACCAGCTCGTTAACCTCAGTCTTTTCTCTGCACTTTGACAACCAGACTTCGTGTTAAACTTTGGCCGCTCGTTAAAAAAAAAAAAATCATGAAAAATCAGTGCCTGTTTGAAATATTTCAATAATACTTTCGAACAAAGGATACTTTTGTATTATCTGATAAGTCTTTCAAACTTCCGTCAATAGCTAGAAAGGGATTGAATTTTTTAATATTTTTGAAAGGAAACCGAAGATGGTTCCAAAACACCTACGAAAACAAAATCCATTACGGTTGAAAAAGCAAACGAATTTTCATTGTTTACCCTGCACACTCGGTATGGTGCTGTGTATTTCGCTCTGACGAATAACTAACGCTCGAAACTTAATCTTTAGAAACTCTATACGGCGGCCAATTTACATTGTTGATAATTCATCAACCCAGTTGATAAAATCAAATTATCTTGTAAAATCCGACGCAACATCATATTTCAGACGACTTTTAAAATATGACTATAAGGAGTTATAATGGTTATAGTGCCTATGACAGAATTCATTTTTTAAATGCGTTTTCTAGTTGATAGCTGTATTTAAAATTTGTCATGATCGACCTTAGCGCCTACCCACCTACCGCGCATTGAAAGTACGATTTGGTGGCCTAAAAAAGTGTCTCCAGTTAGCGCGCGGTCAAAACGATCATGTTACATAACTGTGAGGTAGAAAACTGTGAAGACAACGGTATTCATTGATGAAAGCCAGATACCTGAAAAAGTGGTATTTTACAAGTTACTGTAAGTCTCCTTGGACAGGTAGTTCAGACGAACAATCCAAAGAACAAACAGTCCGAATTTTTTTTGGTCTTCAGTCTCGCCACCTGATTTTAACATAGTCATCGTTAATCTACGAATCATCGCGGTAACTTCTCTGAGGGCCTCATTACATGAGCCTGGATTAATTTGTTACTCAGGTTTAAAGAACGCAAAGTATCCTCAAAACATCAGTCCGCCTCACACGAACCTGTGTCAAAATTTCTACCTACGAAAAACTTGACAATTGGCATTGAAACGATGAGATGCCCATTCAGTGACGAAATGGTGCGACGTCAGGATGTAGCACCAAAAAAAAAACAGTCTAGAAAAAAAAAACCAAGAAAAAAATGTTATTTGGATGAAGGTGCCAACTAGAGGTGAAGTTTACTTGAAAAAATTAGGAAAATCTTACCCATTTTAGTCGAGTCAACCCAGCTAAGCTAGAATAAACCCGGATAAGCAGGACTTAAATATTATTGTCATGTGAATGCGTACAAATTAAAAATGAGACTGCCAAAGGGTTCGTACCCATCGTTGCGATTTAACTCGTGTTAAAAAGAAACCCGGGGTGGTGTAAAGAGGCCCTTATATAAACCATAGGGTTTCTTGAGGTTCCCCTCCCCCCACATTTACTTTATGTTATAAAAATATTCTTTGTAAAGATTTTAGCGCTGAATGAACTTGAGCTTAAAGTTGGACTGGAGTATACCGTATTTGAATTTGGATATATCAACAAAGTTGAAATGGTAAATTGGCCACCGTAACGATTACAAAAGCTGACGTTTCGAGCGTTAGCCCTTCGCTCCGACGAAGGGCTAACGTTCGAAACGTCAGCTTTTGTAATCGTTACGGTGGCCAATTTACCATTTCAACTTTGTTGATATATCCAAATTATTTCGTTACTCCCACCGACGCAGCCCCAAACAGTTAATTTCTTTCGAAACTATCAGCCTTTATACCGTATTTGGTTCTTTCATGGTCAAAACTGGAAAAAATTGGAAAGATTTCCGTACAACCCCAAAACTGTTCTAAGACAAAGTTTTAATCCCAAAGATAAACTGTTATTTTTGCCCCTGTATTCTTTTATCATATAACTGTATTGATAATGAAGAGTGGGTTTAGACGGAAATCTAGCGAAACCGTGATTCAAAACGTGAAGTTCCAGGAATCTCCATCCGCTCTCTTTTAACAATATATCTCACTGCAATTCATAAATCTTTTTTTTTTTTTACATTAGTTAGCTTTTAATTTGTCAGTTAATTGATGGACCAACCTTCCACTTGCGAACACGAAATAAGAGCTTTTGTTTGATGTTAATTTTGTAGTTCTTGACGTTCCGACATTTCACGAAAGAAAGGTGACAAATACTGTAACTTCAAAACGCAAAAATAAAAGCTGATGGTACGACAGCCAAAGAAAATTACCAAAATGTACATTTTTAAAAAAGTGCATGTACTTTTTTCACTCCCTAGCGACGTCTTCAGGTTATTGATTCAATGACAAGTCACTGTTTGAGGGATACCACCTTAATAGAGTTCCTCGATCCTCATAGACAGAACCCGAGTCATGATGACGGAAATAGAACCCACCTTTTGGTACCGAGACATTTATCCAGATTAACACTGCTTTCCTGTGCTTTAAATCATGGTTTCCTGAATTCGACATAATCAAACATTCGCCTAAAATCCCCAAATCTGATTACGGATGATTAAGGAAACAAATAACAAACAAATTATCGCCTCAAATCCCTAGGTAATTCATTACTTTCTCATATCTTTTTGTTACTCGGTGAAAATTGTGTTATTTATCTCTATTCCGTGCCCTTTTCTCTTTTAAGTTCTTTTATTGTCATAGAAAACAGTTTTTGAAGTAATTTTTCCAGTCAAAAGCTTTCGACATTGTTATTGAGATTTTCAATCTAACGAGCCTCTATATAGAAAACGATGAGTTGTTTTGAGTTGTTCAGTAACCTGTTCCACTGAAAAACACTTGATGCCTGAAGTTTGCGACTGAATTGCTAAAGGTATGGTGTTAGAAATACAAATAAGATATATCATATAATGGTGCTTGTAACAAAGTAGCATGGTCAGTAAACAAATTCAGCTTAAATTATTTTTTAAGTTTTCATGATAATACTTTCCAAGAAAAAAATTGCTCTTTTTCCTACGCTTTTAACTAGTCTTTAGATGAAGCCAATAACCAAACGATGGATTTCAACATTTTCTTTCCCGAAAAGACGTTCCCTATACATCGATAGCAAACTATTGAGCTTCAAGATTCTCGCCTTTGCAACAGCTGCATCTGACAGGTTTTCCTTTCGTTCTGTGAGGGTGGAGATCGTTCACAGTTTTCAGACTGCCTTTCCTAAATTTTGATTCACTTTTACCTGCTGACAATAAAAAGGAGTTATTTGTCCAAATGGCTAACACACGCCATCGGGCGCTCAACGATTTCAATCCCTTTTTAGGCGTTAAGTTTTATTTATCCCCCTCATATCGAGATAAATTTATATTTCAGGAGATAAAATATAAAAAAGAGCGAAGAAAAATTTGAGTTGATGTTTGAGAGCCTGGTCAAAGGATGGATCCATTCGAAAACACTGGAGAGTTCAAAGTGAATTATTTCAAGGCGTTTTCTTATCAGGTAAATCTAGTTTTTTCAATCATTACAATATGCATTAAGATAACAAACGGATGCAGCTTTTCATAGCCTAGTCGATGACGTAATGGTCATGGAAAGTGTTATATAAGAAGAGAAAGGGTCTCCCAAAATCTGATCGGTACGTAATTCTCCCCTTTAGCTGCTACATATTTCCTTGTGAGTTAACGAGGATTTGGTGTTAGATCAAGATAACAGCTTTTACCAGATCATTTTGAGTATTCTCCTTACCTGTTTGGTGGATGATGTATGGATAATATAGGGAGAAGTTACATGTTAATCACTTCTTGGAGTTAGAGGGTGTTAGTCTCGAGAAGGGAAGCGCACTCCGCACAAAACATTTTGAAGTACTCCCCAGGCAATGATACACGAAATTTGTTTCTTTTTGTTATTGCTTTTTGTTGTTGTTGTTAGTTTGATAATAAATATTACAAGAATAAAACTACGACGTTTCGAAGTCATCTTGACCCCATTATCAAGTAGGGGTGTTAGTTGTAGTTTCGAGATTAAATAAAAACAAAGGTGATAGAGTACATTAGTATCATTAGTGTTTGACGTGTCAGTGCGTGCGGTATATATTTGAATAAATACTTTTGCAAGTATTGAGTCCGACTGCGTGTTTAACTTCGGTTTCTGTTCACGAATAAATAGCATTTCCTGAATAAGACAGTCCAGTTTTCCTCGGCAATTTCTTAAGAACGGAAAATATTTCGGTTTTTTGTTTGTTTGTTTTTCTTTTTTTGTAATAGTTCAAGAGTTTACTCGCATCTACGAAAATTTCTCTGAAAAACCGTATACTGTTCAATGCAGTCCGGCCAGATTCTTCCGCACAGTCAGTTGTAAAGTTCCGTGAGCCAATAGGTATGGCGCTACATTACTGGAGAGTCTCAGTGGGGTGGTGAATGTTATGGTTAACGGCGAAAATCCACGGTGATGCCACTTCCGTCGATAACCCAACAGTCAATGACAACGATTCCAGCAGCGTCACCATCAGAGTCTCTACAACATCAACTACCACATCACCACCACAGATAAAAACAGGTGAGGGACTGATCATTACTTATCATCAGGGGGAGGGAAGGGACTGATCATTTTTTATCATCAGGGGAGGGGTTCTTGGAAGCTTTTGGCTGTGTCACTATAACATATACCTGATCTCCCCCCTAAGGCTCTGTAACATGCTTATGCTCCCCCCCCACCCCGTTATGGTATTTAATTGGCAGTCAATTTTCTATAGTCCCCTTTATACTCTGACAGATCCCCTTCCGGCCCCCCTGACCAAGTGATTCCCCAGACCGAAGATTTTTCATTCTTGTTCCCAGGTCCTTGTCAACTAAACCAGAAAAACCAGAGTGCACTTTGCTCAAAGATGCAGAATTTGGAGAAAATGTATGGCGTTGGAAAGTTTTGCAATGGTTATGAAGCATCGTGCAAGTACAGCGTCACTTTTGGTCTT